CTGGACACCCGGGGGGGAGGGGGGGGGTGCAGCAGCAGATACTACCTTCCAGTACTCACACCAGCAGGTGTCATGTTTCCCTCAATCAGGTTTTTGAAATGCCTTAGAGAATTTACAATTCTGCCCCGTGTGGACACTGTGGGTACTGGAAGATAGTGAAGGGAGAGTGTCTTCTACAGAGTGTGCACTTACAGAGGGTGGAGGGGACTCCCTGCCAATCAGGGGGGTGTTCTCACACCGAGGGTTCTGAAAGTTTGCGTTCTGGCTCCTGCGTTACAGAATCAGAGGTTACTACATGTGATCAGCCTCAGCCAATGGTGTTCAACTGCTGGTCCCTGATCTGCTCCTGATTAGAACCTACTGACCAGAGACCATCCGGGGGAGTTACACCTCTGTTGAAGACCACCGTAGTGGTCACACTGGGTGGCTAAAACAAGAACTTCTGTTGTTACTGTGACGACCACCGACAACAATCTTCGTTGGTTTTTATTTAAAAACTAACCACAATATTGAATACTGAGAGCTAAAACTCTGCTTTATAAAATATAAATCTAAGGAATCCTAGTGGCGGTGGCTGTAACCACTGACCATTTGCTGACTAATGCTAACTGTTACCCAGGAGGCTTCTGTTAGCAGAGCAGCATCACGGAGGACATGCTAACTGTTCATGGCAGAAAACGGATGCTGTAAACTCCCAGCAGTTGACCTCACTTTGTAGCTACTGTAAACCATCCTCAGCTGACCTCTAGATGGCAGTAGGTGCTAACTCACATGTATTCAGTGACTGGGGCATTGCTGACAGTGTGGGCTGTAGCAGGCAGGCTAGCCTCGCTACCGTAGCTGGAGCCACAGCTGTAGAGACTGGGCATGTGAACGCGGTAGAGGTTATCGTGAACGCCGCCACGTGAGGCGCCCGACTCGTCCTCTCCATCGTCCTCGTCCGTCCTTCAAATGGTCACGGTAGAGGCAGGGCATAAGAGGTCAAGATGATTAGATGGGAGGGGGGGGGTAAAGAGGATGAAGGTCCAGAGGAGACAACAGAGCATTAACCAGTGAGAGGAAGACTCTCCTGATGAAGACCAAACCAAAATAACAGGACTGAAAGACAAAATAGACTCTCGACACTGACACGACTGACCTTCATATCAAACGAGTCTCAGGTAAGACAGCTATTTTTGTACCGTCAACGGTTTTACTGCAGTTTTTAGAAACGCTGAGTCATGCAACCGTTCAGCGCCATCTGGTGTGTCTAAACCAACTTTCATGCATTCTTAAACATCAGGATGAGCAGATGATACGAGGAGAGAAGAAGCTCTTACAGGGTAAACCATTTCAAACATAAAATGGTCCAAACGGAAAACAAAAACAAAACAAAAAAAACAGGCAGCAACAAAAACGATGAGTCGTTGAAGTAGACACTAAGGTTGGTGCTGATTTGGAACTGACTTTCAGACTGGATGATTTTAGATACAGTTTAAACCAGTGAAGTCACAACAAACTGTAGTGATGTTTGAAAACTGCTGCAGCAGAGGTGCACCTGTCATACCCTCACTGGCCACTAAGTGGAGCTGTTTCACTCCTTGTTAAATGCACAGTCAACACAGACGTCAGTCACGTTGTTCTGTCAGTGCAGGGAGAACACAGACTGCTGTTCTGACCCAGCACCACAGCCCAGCCCAGCCGGGTCGGACCGGTGCTGATGCTGTGGGGTGTGTGTGTGTGTGTGTGTGTGTGTGTGTGTGTGTGTGTGTGTGTGTGGCCCACATCAGGTTTATTAGGTTTGACAGAGCCATCTGTTAGAACATGAGATGGTCGACTTCCCTAATATCACGTCATCATTCACTGAAGCCCAAAACGTTTCCAAATCAGGACGGGGGGAGTGTGGGGGCGGGGGGAGG